GACACAGAAGGATCCTGTCCTCCCAGTTCTCCAGATCCACCTACCTAAACATTTTGCCACCCCCCGTGTGCCAGGCAGTGTGGGGGAGCCTCCAGTGGTTGGCACTGCATCCTCTGGAGGAGGCCAGGAAGATAAGTCACGTCTACTCATGATGTCTGTTGCCCGGAGATCCCAGATCTGTCTGTAGATTGTCCGCTCTGGAGGATCTCCCACAGCGAGCAAGACACAGGTCTTGAAGCAGTGTTTGTGGCTAGAGTTGCTGGCTGTTAAAGAGTTCACTGAGCACCTTCCCCAGGATGAATTGTTAGTGCTTCGTGCTGCCGAGGGGTTGTTTATGTATGATGCTTTGTGGGTGGGATGTGGTTTTGTTACTGCTCCATTGTTGGACTCTGTTTGGGCACTCTGCCCGTTTATGATTAATGATGTTTTGAGTTGAGGCTCTAATGTGCTTTCAGGCATACTCCAGGTACCAGAGGTAAAAGAGGTGTTGTTATCATCAAGGTACTTCAATGTAATATCAAATGTAATCAGAAGTGAATTAATTAAAGCAGTGTGTACATATAAGTCCTTTTATGGTGGATGTTCAAGCAACTCGTATGGTGTAATTTAGAGCTCAATTTTTTAGACTTTTGTAACCCTCTCCTCTCCCTGAGAAGGTGGTAACTTGGCAGTAGATGCCAGGACTGCTGTCAGAGGGCAAACCTCTCCTGCAAAGGCCTCTTAGTGAAACATGACTCTTGAAACAGGTTAGGAAATTGTGTGCATTTGTTGATCCCAGCCCTGGCACGTTTTAGGGTTAATTCTTATGGCTTATACAACTAGTGTAGGCTGGGATCTAATGGTTGCTTGGGTTTCGTCTGACCTTGGAGTGAGCAAAAACCTGTAGAAAATCTGTATTTATTGTTGGTCTCAGCTCTACCAGGATTAAACCTTCCTTTCTGCAGCACAGCATACCCTTGACGTGGTTGACTGTTAGAAAAATTGCCTGGAGTGCAGCTGCCTCTTCTGTCCAGCACCTCAGGCTTTGTGAGACTGGTGGCTCTTCACCCCTGTAGAGAGGAGACTCGAATTCGGATGGAGGAGGCATTGACAGGATTGCAAGGTGACCAGAGATATGGATCCTAAATGATTTCCTGAAGTTACCTGTAGCCTCAGTCTGACAAGCACAGCCAAAAACCTCCTCCCCATTTTTGTGAACCCAGCGGCAGTGGTGGCTGAGTGGTGTGTGTTGCTAAACTAGCTGTGGAGGAGACCACGAGCTGGCAGACCAGAGGCATGAGATTCAGATGATGGCGATCTGAAACGGCAGCTTCACCTCAGCCTGCGTCAGGATGATGGGGTGACTTGGGTGGCCCTGGTTCGGTGTTTTGGCTCTGACAAAAGCGTTTGAAAAAGTACCAAACGGGGAGGAGATTAAAATGACCAAAAATGTTCAGACCACTAAAGAAAGGGTGCACTTTTAAAATCCTCATGTCTGTTTGAACCAAACTCGCTTATTTCTGAGCTGCAACTCTGCGATTTGGACAGGGCAGAGATAGGAAATGGGTCCATGTTGAAGCTGAAAATGAACCAAAATGTAAAACTTTGTCTTTGACATACTCCAGTATTAGCACTCTGTGAGCTGCTTTGGTCTCTCAAGCTACTTTAGTTGACTGCTGGAGAAGGTTGAAAGGTGATTCATTCATAGTTTACAAGTACCTAAAAAGGGAATAGGTTTCTGGTTGCTAGATGGGATTCAAATTTACCAGAGAAAGGCAGAGAGATCTCTTGGCTGGAAGCCAAAGTTAGAGAAATTCAGGCTAGGAATAAAGGATGCAGTTTAAACAGTACGAATAAAAAACAGTGGAAAGTCTTTGGCTGGCATTAAGCAGACTCATATCAGCAGTTAATGGCTCTAAATGAGGATTTCTGTGTTTTTCTAAAAGGTGCAGGAATTATGAAGAGAGGAATTATGAAGCAGGCTCTGCCTGCTCTTCCCATGCTGCTGTCCAAGCACAAGCCACACTTGTAACGTAGCAGTAAGGCGCACAGACGTGCTGGGCGTCAGGGAGCACAGCTCTGTTTCTTTGTGCGCAGCGCTTTTCCCAGACACGGTCCAAAATATTTCTGGACTGGATTCCCCTTTCACTGGCCTGTCTGATTCAATCGTGGAATTACAGTCCATGAAGCGTGGCTTGCGAGCTGAATGCACAGTCCCTTTCCCTCCTGTAGTAAGACAGCCAAAGATATGCAATCTGGGGAGAAAACATGTTCTCCTCCCTTTTTCTGGGCAGGACTCTCTGCTGGAGGGGTATGATGCAGGCAGAGCCCCCTGTCTGAGTGTCAGCTCCAGCTCTGCTGTGCTTGGCATATGTATCTTTGGATCTGACTATTTAGGAATGTCATGTAATTTATCGTTGGTGGCCAAGAGCACAAGGTGCAAGAGGTACATAGGTTTGGGTGCGATGTGATTCACGTCGGTGGGGAAGAACCAGGGAATAGAGATCTTGGAAGGTTTTTTGCTTGTCCTTGGCCCTCTCCTTCAACGATCTGCAGGTTTCTGGGCTTTGCTCTGCTCTTGCCAGCGTTTTCTGGGGAGAGGGGCAGGGCTGACACATCTTTCTCCCAGGCCATGCTGCCTGCTTCATAATTCTGCAGACTGCAAGCCTGGAAATAATATGAGGCAGATGCACCAATGCCAAGGTCAGGACCTTCCCAGTAGTTAAGGCATATGTATACTGTTGGCATGGTACAGGGTGACCTCAGTGTACAATAGGAGCCAACCGACACACACAGACAGAATAAATATTTGATGGAGTCTATTTCTCTATTCCCCAAAATGACCCCTATAAAAGCAAGGTCCTGTTTACCTTCCCGGCTCTCCGTGCACAGTGTTCTGAGAAGAGACAAGCTCTCTTCTCCATTCATTGCCTTCCTGCTCTTCTGGGTGACCCATTTCCAGGCAAGGATCGGGGATATTGGCTTCACAAAACCCGGGACACCTTGGATTTTCACAGAACTCCTGAAATCTAGGGAAAGTTGAGATCGTATTTGTTCAGAAGTCCCTCTGTCTGTGCCAAAGCACAGTGACCTGGGAAGCAGCGCGAGACATCAGTGTGCAGCCTGAAGCAATTGCCTGCAGCTGTCCAAGCCGTTTTTTGTGCTGTCCCTGCCCCGCTAGCACGTGTGCAGCCCTCCCCATCCTGTTGCCTGTGGCACAGGTTTCTAGGGAGCCTTCAGCAGCCTTAGGTGTGCAAAAATAACAGTCGGGAAGAATATTTGGTGGGGTTTATTCTTTTTTCCTAGGTGTGCTAAACATGCTTCCTTTGCACTCCTGGATCCTAAGTTTGCTTCTGTGCCCTGGCACCAGTGCAGCTCAGAGTCAGCGGAAGGTCTGGCGTGCTTGGGACCAGACCTGCTGCGTTACCCACCCACGCGCTGCCAGGCACCTCTCCTCTCACGGTCACAGACATCTCTGGGTTTGCCTTTCAGTCACTGTGAACTTTGCCCAGCCAATTCATGTTACCCTGAACTGTTCCATTTCTGTCCATGTTTGTATCTTTTCGATTAAGGACAATTTAGCTTCTCATGCCCTCGCACATAAAACAAAGGAATACAAGAGTCCTCAGAACTTCCTACCACAGGAGCATATGCCTGATGATTGCTGTGCTTTTCATTTTGTATAAGATCACTTTCAGTGAAAACAGTTTTTAAATAAAACCAACCTACGATAACTTAGCTTGGCATGAAGAATGAGTGGAGACATACAAAGGTCTGTAAAATAGTGATTGCTGTAATGAAACCCATCCAGTTCCTCCTCCTTTGATTGCTCTTCCATATCGCAAGATCAGAATGCACTAGGCAATTAAAAGATGGCTTGTGCATATTAGACAGAGGAAATACGTTATCTGTAACACATCTTAGACAAGTGGAAACCATTATTACCAATATTCTTAAGGCAAAACCAGCAACTTGCTATTTTCTTTTTTAAGGTTAACCCTGAGAATGAAAAAGGGAGCTAGAAGAGTGCAGAGCTGTCAATTGAAAGAAAAATTGCAAGCCTGCTAATCCTTTCTTGTCAGGTTTAATATAAAGCCTGGCAGAGATTGATAAGAAGTGCCTTCCTCCCTGCCTGATGTTCCAGGTGCATGGTAAAATCACTTCTCTGAAACACCCAGGAAAGCTCACATGCAGAGCTAGGCTTCAGACTGGAAAGGCTGCTGGCCAGCCTGACATTCCAAGTCCTAAGACCATTTTAAATAGCTTTATTCTTTCAGTTTTCTAACTGCAACCTGAAGAATAGCTGTCCCTCCCCTTCTCATCCTTTATATGTGCAGGTTTTCATTGCAGCCCCTCTCAGTGGCTGTTGCTCTGCTGCTGACGCTGTCGTGCTGAATGACCATCCGTCTTAGCAGCAGGCACGGAGCATCCGTGGCACACACTGCTTGGGGATGGGGGACCGCTCCCTGTGACCTGCTTCTGCTCCTTCTGCAGCAAAACGCTCTGGCTGTGGTTGGTGGGGCTGCGAGATTGGCAGCATCCCCGTCAGCAGCGGCAGAGGTCATGTAGGTGTTGGTAATCATCGGCAGCAATGACAGGATGCAGGGAAAAATAATCTCCGAAGAGCTTGAGCTCCTGCATCCCTGGCTCTGGCCTGGTGGGAGAGCCTGGAGAGCAGAGCAAACCCCTGCGCTAGCAGGAGACGCACGGGTCCTGCCTGCGTGAGTAAGGGCAGCTGTGGAGCAGTCGCGTCTGGCCACGTGGAGCAGCGAAAAGAGCGAGCCAGACCCGGGGGCTTCCTCTGTTCCCCACGTGGATGTTTCTGACTCCGTGCTCCTTCCCTGCCTGTGTGCTGGTAAAAGCTGGGGAGCCGAGCTGGCGTGCAGCCCCTCTCCAGCCATCACGTGGTAGCGGGGGCAGCGAGCGCTTTTCCCAGGGGAGGGGGCTCTGTGGGCTCACATAGCTTGTGTGCAGCCTCTGAAAGAGGCAGGTTTCACATTGTCTGGTTTCTCTTTTTGTAGCTGTCCCTCCCAAACTGAAGAAACTGAAAAGCCCAAACGTTCATGTCGGTGAAAAGATTTCACTGAAATGTGAGGCGACTGCTGGAAACCCTCAGCCGTCCTACAAATGGTTTAAAGATGGCAAAGAGCTGAAGAAGAGCAAAGACATCCGGATCAAGTATGGGAATGGGAAGTAAGTATCCTACGGGGCTGCTCTGCCTCTGCTCACTAACGTTGAGTGTCTGGGCCCGGGGGACCGTCTGGCTAGAAGTGGTGCTGTGCTCTCCAAGTCACTGCTGAGCGATACCGAGATGCTTCCTCGGAGTCACAGGACCATGCACAGCCCATTTACCATGCCTGGGAGAGTGAGCAGGATTCCCAGTTTCCTCAAAGAGCAGTGTAGAGAGAGGAGCAAGACACGCACAGGATAGATGCTGGGTTTGTAGAGGGGGCTCTCCTTGGGTAACTTGTGTCATCGGATATCTGAGGCGGGTGTCTAGTGACCTGGGGAGATAACTCTTTCCCTGCTAGCTGTAGACTGGTTGTAGGCAGCTCAGGTTACCTGGGGTGAATCCTGCTTTGTGATTAGGGGGTTGAGTGCAGAAGCTATCCAAAATCAGCCGTCGCCCCACCAGCCAACAGCAGGCCTGCATAAATGTGGGAGGAATCGCTCTGTTCTCTCCTGAATTTAGGTGGACTCGAAAACATCTAAGGCAACTGCAAGGATGCAAAAGCACATCACGATACAATCTGATTAGGGCCCGTAGTCACCCGCCGAGGCCTTGTCTCACGCAAGACCTTGCATCGCTGCGCCCAGGGCAAGCTCCATTGTGGCTGCCCCAAACCCCCCACGCAGCAAAGCTCTCGGGCAGCTGCTCTCAGTGAGTGTCATCCTAGGGACCGCCTCATTCAGGCAGTGCAGAAACACCAGGAGAAATAGGCCCCAGTGACTAAGCTAAGGGGTTCTCACTGGGAATTGATTTAAATGGATCCATGTTGATATTTTTCGAGGCCAAATATTTACATATGATGTATCTTAAAATTATTCCATAATCGTGACTATGCTTACATTCATATATCCTGACCTAGCCAGCAACAAAGTCAGCTTGCAACTGCCCGACCCCTTGGAAAACTTGAAACTAATTCTTTGCTAACATATGTTATGTCTGAGTGTGTGAAAAATAGCTCCTCTCTTCTCATTATGGACTTGATTGATAGAGTATTAATTTTTAAAATTAGAAGCCATTAAAAAATCAGTTAGAAAAATCAGTGCTTGAATGGGTCATTGTCAATTGCTCTAATTTAATTCCAGTCCTGTTCGTTTTGATTTCAAAGTCACACCCAAAATGGTTGACCTCCTTTGTAATAACTGTAGCATTCGTGGCTGTTTTGGGATGAGGCAGAGAGGTGGAAGGCTTAGGCTAGAAACACCAGATCCAGGGTAACTGGCTCGTATCTAGTGGATGCCGTCTGCTCAGGAAGGGCTGTCTGGGCTTGCAGGCAGCAGAGATAGGGCAGAACTGTGCCTGCCTCTTCGCTCTGTTGCCCTCAGTATTTCTGTGGCCCTTGTCAGCCTCATGGCCCCAGTTGTTTACCGATGGGTACCGGAGCTGGGTTGCCCTGGAGGAATGTCTGCACCACCTGCTGCAGCCAGGCATGGGAAGCCTGCTGGTCCCCCCGATGTGGACACTGCATCCCTGCGGGCAGGCAGCTGTGGGACCCTGGGGTCGCGCAGGGATGTTGGGGAGCTATTTCCCTCAGAGCTAAAGAGCAATCAGCCCCAGACCAAACATCCAGCAAAACTCTCTGGGGAGGGACCCTGGCGATGGTGAGAAGCGCCTCTTGCAGCGTTTCCCAGCTGTGCTGCCAGAGATCATAGTCCTTCCTTGCCTCCTGGCACCCCATGTCCAGCACGAAGCTGTGACAGGATGGCATCCCACCCACAGCGGTGCAGGGGGGGCACGCACTCCCTTGGTCAGGGACATAAACATATGGAAGAAGGTTGATCCTCTTTCCTCAGGACACTGCTGTCAAGTCATAATTTTGCATTTACCAGTTCCTATGGCAATATGTTGGCTCACAGCCTGCCAGTGACACGCCAAAGACATGTGCGTGCTAGAAGTGCTTCCTGCTGGCAAAATAAGCCCAAGGATAAACATTTTAAAGAAAGCTGAGCACCTGCCTCCTCCAGTGTCTGAGGCTCCCTCAGCAGCAAAGGTGTGTGCCCAAAGCGTCCCCCGCTGATCTGCTCCCAGAATCGCTTCCCATCCCTGCTTCTGCTCCCTGCTGCCATTAAAACATGCCATTAAGTGGAGGGGTTGCCTGGCTGGGGCTGGGGCCTGGCTACAGAGACTATAGACTCAAGCAGCTGTTGAGGTGGGACAGCTCTGAGATGATAACCCCTTGTTGACCATTTGCCCCTTGTTGAGCAGTCAGCAGTGCAGGAACACTTCCCCAAGCAGATCTGGATGGGTCTGTGCACACCCTGTCTGGCATCCTCAGCTTTCAGGCTCTCCTCTCCGCTGGCTTTGATAGGTCTCAGTGCTTGAAAACACCTCGAGGGCAGAGTGCTCACTGGCATTGGACTTCCCTCCTTCTGGTCTTGACTGCATGCAATAAACATTAAAAATTGCTGTGTGCATGCAGGCTGACGATCGAGGGAGCCCTCATGACCTGGCATATCTCCTTTAAGTAGCTAGTGGAGCTGAGTTTAGTAGAGGGACCCAAAACTGGACATGGGATATGGGTGTACATCATTACTTCCAGCGTGTTAGGAGGGGACTCCAGGGAAGGATAAGCATCCTAAACTGTAAAGCTCAGAAAGGAAGTCTTACTCTACGATGATTAATTCAAGAATAATAGGGTTTATACATATGGCTCCACTTAGAGATAACACTGGTCTCAGGATAATCCTCTGCTCTTCCTTTCAGTTCAGAGTAGAGTGGGGTTTCCAGAGGGCTAGAAATAGAGCACTGGGGAGGGACTTTCATAGAGAAAGTACACAAGGCAAAAAGCTTCTCAGACTATGCGGCACCTGGCCAGGGGCACAGGATCATTTCTTTAAAAGTTTGATCCAAAGACCCCTGCCAGGATGTGGAGGTGTTGTCCATAGTGTTTCCCTTGGCCCTGTGAGTCCCTGGCAGAGCTGGGTACAGCTCTGCGTTGGACTCTTCGTCTGCAACTCTGCGGTCCTTAGACAACATGAAGAGGATTAGGATGGGAGACAAGAAGAACATGGTCGCCCTCTGTGACTCATTCCTCTACCGCTCTGTGCCTGGCTTTCCTCCCTGTGTGTTTAAAGAGCCTTGAGATATCTAACAAGAAAGCATGACTGAAGCCCTTTTTTTTGTGATCAAGTTTTCATCTGATTCCACTGGCCTTCCTAGAGTAGGAGATCTCTTTGAAAATAAGGGAAGTATATGTTGTAAGGAGGAGAGGAGCAGTTAACTGAGCATGTCAGCTCTTCAGCTTTTCCATCAATCATCTTCCCTCTTGTTTTTTAAACTTACCGGCAAAACTTCTGGTGCCATTAGGCAAAGGAGTCATTTTTTTCAATGGGTATTTGCTGGAGGGAGGGGAACAATTCTGATTCCTCCTTTCTGAACTGCATGTTCCATCTGTAATTGGTAACAGGCTGGGGCAAGCCTGGCTTGCACGAAGAGGAAACTTCTCTTTAAGGTGGAAGAAATTATTGGCTGGAATTTTATCTCCAGCTCAATTTAAATAAAACACAGTTGACGAGGAACCTAGAGAAATTACCCAGAAAGAATTGCATGCAGTAGTGGAAGTACAGCATAGTGACTGGCTCTCCCTCTGAGCTGCCAAAGCAATACCGTTTTCTGCTGAGTGCGTCTGAGACCTAACCGAGGCCGCTGGCTCCCGGGAAGTTAAGGTTGGGTTTTGGCTCTCTGACTGTCCTGGCAAATGGTCAAATGCCAATTCTGGAGAAAGCCAAGGGAGTTTCTGTTTGCGGAGGTGTAGAGAACCTGCCTCACTTCAGGCTGTGCTCAGAACTCAGCCCTGAGACACATAGATCTTCAGCTGCAGTCACAGGGGGTCCAGGAGCCTGGTGGTGTCCTATAGCTGTGGCTGTCCTTACAGCCTCTTCTCTTTGTGTGCTCTTTTACCAAGGGAGATTGCTGGGATGATGAAGTAGGCGTATCATTAGATTGGAGAGGGTTGGCAGTTCAGTTTGGGACAGGCTGACCATATGACATCCCTTGGGAGTAGTGTCCTACTTTCAGTATCACCAGGAATCCCTATTGTTAGCCTGTAAGTGGAGCCAAGGGATACCCTCCTCTCCTGTTTCTGTACAGTAGTCCCTCAGGCAATGCTAGTTGGGGCAGATTCATTGCTGGGGTCTTCCTTGTAGAGCTCCCTGCTGTAGATTATTCCCCACCCACAATGAATGGGGCTGTGGTCTTCCCTGTACAGCTCACTGCTCTGGAATGAAGGCAAAAAAAAATAATAATGCCAAAGCAGCAGGGGAAAGAGAGTGCCAATAAAGATAAATGATTTCCTAATTAAGCCTGGAGACAAGGAGGGGCAAAGAGAACTGTTGAAGCCTTGTGGGAGCCAGAGTGAACCCAAGCAGGCTATACCACCACTCTGGCAGGGGTCTTCAGGCTGACATTTTTAAACAAAGGAAAAAGCTCATTTGACAATGGATCTTGCAAGAGCAATTCCAGATGCCTTGAAGCTAAGACTCTGCTTAAGCACCGGTGTTGTTATAATCACCAGGGGAGCTTCTGCCTTGCTAACTCTCACGATGTCATCATAAGTCTCCAATATTTGGGATTTTGTTTTAGCTGCTGAAGGCACTTTATTGGAGGGGGGTTTGAAGGAAAGCATCTCCTTTGTTTGTCTGTTTGTTGTTTTAAAGGACGTGATGGACATCATCTTGGCCAATGCACCTAGGACTGAACCAGGGAATTTGAGAACTGAAAGGAGCAGCAGTTGAGTCTTGAGCTAGAACAATCCACAAACTTTGCAAGTTGGGGCTCCTAAGAGATTCAGGGAATGGGCATTTAATCAAACTTGACCGAGTTATAGTGGCTAACAAGTTATGGTCAGATCCTGGGCTGCTTCAACTGATGGTGTGTGAAACTTAGAGGTGGAAGGAACTTTACGTGCCTGAAATTTTGTGTGGTTATTCCAGTGATGTTGGCTGCTTAAAAAAAAAATAAATCTCTC